GGATCGCGAGATCGTGACCTGGCTGAAGTCGGACGCTTAACCGACTGCGCCACCCAGGCGCCCCTAGAGTTTTTTTTTTTAATATTGTCCCCAAATATATGTTTAGGTATTTTATACTTTTTGTCATTTTGAATGGAATCTTCTGCACTATATTTATCAGAATTGTTGATTGGTTATTTTTTGTGTGTAAGGAGGTAATTATTTTTTTTACTTTTAATCAACTACTCTATTGAGTTTTCCGGTTATTTTGAATTGTTGTCACTTTTTTCTCCTGAATTTACTAGGTATAGAGTCATATTTTCTACAAATATTGTTTCTACAAATTGTTCTACAAATATTTCTACAAATATTGTTTTGTTTCTTTATTATATATTCCTATGTTTTATATTCTTTTTAAATTCTAACATCTTTATTATTATCAGAAAGAAACCAGTGAGTTTATTTTCATTTTTTTTAAATCAAGGAAAAGGATAGAAATATTGTGTTACATTTTGTGAAGTCTAACAAAAATGTGAAGCAAGATACTGAACTTCTTGTTGAGCTTAACTGGAAATAATCTGCCCAACCATCCCACCTTCCTCCCTCCCTCCCTCCCTCCCTTCCTTCCTTCCTTCCTTCCTTCCTTCCTTCCTTCCTTCCTGTCTGCCTGCCTGCCTTTACTTCATCCATCCATCCATCCATCCATCCATCCATCCATCATCCATCCATATATGCATACATCCATCCCATAAATGTTTATTGCTGCCTTTTTTATACCATAGATTCATGTGGCTACTTTAAGAAGGACAACACCCCTGCTCCTAAAGACTTTAGATGGAGAAACAGCCACAAAGGCAAGCAATTATAATAGTGTATAAGGCAAAGCACAGGGTGTTAATGGAGGCACATAAAAAGGGTACCTACACCAGCCTTAGGCAGGGAAGGAGAGTAAATCTAAAAAGATATCTAAGAAAATATTTGAATGGAAGAAAGATCACACTCTCAGTAAATGTATTATGCCATTTAGTTGCTTTAAAATTCTTGGGTGTAGCCATGTCAATATCTTTAGCTGTTAGCCATTCTGAAATCTTCATGAATCTCAAGATTTTCAATTTGCCTTCGCAGCTCACGGGACCAGTGACAGTCTGGGGAACCCGACGCTGGATACAAGTCTGCTGGAGGAATTCTTGGGCAATGATTTCGATCTGGGGGCCTTGTAAGTAATGAAAGTACTGCTCTCCATTTGATGTTTTAAAAGTTATGAGATAGTTAAGTGAACTAGGAAGTGTTCTCTCCTCTTCTGTTTTCCAGAAAGGCATGGATGGAGTTGATGTTTCTTCTATAAATCTTTGGCAGTTTTCACTGAGTGAGGTCAGCTGGGCCTGGAGTTTTCTTTATAAGAAGGTCCTCCCTTTCTAATTCAATGTCTTTACTAGATACTGGGCTATTCAGGTTATCTATTGGTAGTTGTCAGCTTAGGCAGTTTATGTGTTTCAGTGAATTTACTGATTTCATCTAAGTTGTCAAATTCACTGGCATAAAGTTATTCATCATATTCCCTTATTTTACTTTGAATGTCTATAGAATCTGTAGTGATGATCCTTTTGCTCTTCTTGATATCAGCAATTTGTGTCTTTTTATTCTTGATCCATCTGGCAAGAGGTTCATCAGTTTTTCAAACCCTTTGAAGATCCAGCTTTGGTTAAATTTATGTTCCTAATCATTTTTCTGTTTTGTATTTCATTGATTTCTGCTCTTATATTCTGATAATAACATAGCTACTTCAGCTTTCTTTTATTTTTAATTTACATACAGTAATATTAAATTTTTGTCCTGTATATAGTTTTGTGAGTTTTGACAAATTCATAGAGTTGTAGAACTGCTATCATGATCAGCACAAACAATAGCTCCCTCACCTGAAACATTTCCCTGATGCTTCATAAGGGAAACTTATCACCCATCCCAAGACCTTAGTGACAGTTGATCTGTTCTCTGTCCCTATAGTTTTGCTTTTCTGGAATGTCACATAAATGAAATCTATGGTATATAACATTTTTAGTATGGCTTCTTTCACTAAGCATAAAGTCTTTGATCGATAGTTCATTCCTTTTTATTTCTGAGAAAGACTCTGTTGACTGTTTATAATACATTTTGTTTATCCACTTGCCCACTGGATTGTTTCCAGTTTGGGACAATTACGAATAGCTTCTTTAAATATTAATGCATAGTTTTTTATGTGGTCAAGAGTTTTAATTTCTTTTTTTTTTAATGTTTATTTTTGAGAGACAGAGTGCAAGTGGAGGAGGGGCAGAGAGAGAGGGAGACAGAATCTGAAGCTGGCTCCAGGCTCCGAGCTGTCAGCACAGAGTCTGATGTGAGGCTCAAACTCACAAGCTGAGATCATGACCTGAGCCAAAGTCAGACACAACTGATTGAGCCACCCAGGTGCCCCAAGAGTTTTAATTTCTATAGGGTAATATTTAGAATAAAGACTCCTGGGTCGTATTTTAAGTGTAAGCTTAACTTTATAGAAATTGCCAAATTTTCTAGCGTGGCCATACCATTTGCCATTACCACCTGCAGCATATGAGACAACCGATTGCTTCTCTTTATTGCCAGTTCTTGGTATTATCAGTTGAAAATTTTTTTCTTATAACTGTTCTGTAATAAAAAGCCATTCTATAGTGGTATCTCACTGTGTTTTAACTTGCATTTTCCTAATGATGGATGATGTTGAGTATCATTTAATGTGCTTGTTTGCTATTTGTATGTTTTCTTTGGTAAAGTGTCTGTTCAAATTTTATGCCCATTGAAGTTTTCTTACCTTTGAGTTTAGAGAATTGTTTAAATATTCTGTATATAAGAACTTCGTTGGATTTGTGATTTGTGAATATTTTCTCCCAGTCTGTAACTTTTCATTCTTTTAACAGTGTCTTTCCCAGAACAAAAGTTTAAAAATTAAAAAAAAAAAATTTTTTAACATTTATTCATTTCTGAGAGACAGAGAGAGACAGAGCATGAGCGGGGGAGGGTCAGAGAGAGAGGGAGACACAGAATCTGAAGCAGGCTCCAGGCTCTGAGCTGTCAGCACAGAACCCGATGCAGGGTTCGAACTCACAAACTGTGAGATCATGACCTGAGCCAAAGTCGGATGCTCAACTGGACTGGGCCACCCAGGCGCCCCTAAAATTTTTATAATGTCCAATTTATCCATTTTTTCCTATACAGTTTAAGCTTTATATCTATGCAATATAGATACTGCCTACTCTAAGTTCCCCCAAATTTTCTTCTGTTTCCTTCTAAAAGTTTTAGAGTTTTACATTTTACTTTTAAGCCTATAATCCATTTTGAGTTAATTTTTGTGTAAAGTTTGAGATATAAGTTGAGATTAATTTCCTTGTGTATGGATGTCCAATTATTCCAGATTTATTTGTTTAATAACCATTCTCCATTGAATTACTTTTAGTAAAAAATCAGTAGTATTTTTTATCTAGCAAAAAATCAATTGGCCATATTTATGTAGATCTATATCTAGACAAATATTCTGTTCCATTGATCTATGTGCCCATCATTCTGCCAATACTACACTATCTTTAAGAGATATATTTTCTGGCTAGAAGTCTCCCCCCTTTTCAGCCCTGAGAAATAGAATAGAAACAGATGAGGGAGAGGGAGAAGATGAGAAAAAAAAACAACTCTGTCACACAGTGAAGATAAATCAGACATAAAATGAGGCAGTGGGAATATAGGATATGACTAATAGAGAACATCTGTTTTTTTAATAAATGTCTTCTCATTTGCAAATATCCTCTTTTAATGTGTATTTTTGAAAGAGAGAGAGAGAGAGAGAGAGAGAGAGAGAGAGCGAGCAGGGGAGGGGCAGAGAAGGAGAGGGAGACATAGAATCCAAAGCAGACTCCAGGCTCTGAACTGACAACACAGAACCTGACATGGAGCTTGAACCCACATTCTGCAAGATCATGACCTGAGCTGAATTTGGGCATTTAACCCAGCTGAGCCACCCAGGCACCCCAGGGAATTTCTATTTTTAAGGGATATATTTTCTGCACATAAAAATTCCCCCCTACTTTTCAGCCCTAAGAGACAGAATAGAAACAGATGAGGAAAAGGGAGAAGATGAGAAACAAAACAAAACTCTGATTTCTATCTTGGTTATTGTGCTTTTATTATAAGTCTTGAAATCATATAGTGTAAGTGCTCCAAATCTGTCTTTTTCAAAATTTTGGCTATTCTAGTTCCTTTGATTTCTCATATAAATATTAGAATTATCTTGTTGGTATCTGTACAGTCCTGCTGGGATTTTGATTAGAATTGTATTAAGCGCAGAGATCCATATGTGGAAAGTTGGTATCTTAACAAAATTGAATCTCCGGATCCATCAACATGATATATCTCTCCATTTATTTAGGCCTTCTTTGATTTCTTTCATCAATGTTTTATACATTTCAGCATGTAAATCCTGCACATATTTTGTTAGATTTATGTCTAAATATTTCATGTTTCTCTTTGAGGTATTATAAATAATAGTTTTTTTCCTCAGTTTTAGGTTCCAATAATTCATTACCAACATATAAAAATAGTATTGATATTTATATATTGGTTAGGTCCTACAACTTAATGAAGTCATTTATTAGTTCTAAGATTTTTTTTTTTTTTATAGATTTTTTGGGATTTTCTGTGTTTACAATGATGTCATACGCAAATTAGGACAGTTGTATATCCCAAACTCTATGCCTTTAGATACTTTTTTTTTTTTTTTTTTTTTTTTTTTTTTTTTTTTTTTTGTTTTATTGCACTGGGTAGGACTTTGGGTATAATGTTGAATAGAGAAGTAGAGACAGCAGATGTACTTGCCCTGTCCCTGATCTAAGAGGGCCATTATTCAGTTTTTTAAAATTATTGAGTATGATACAATGCTTTTTTCCCCCTTTAAAATGTCTTTTTATTTATTTTGAGAGAGAGAGCGTAAACAGGGAAAGGGCAGAAGAGAGGGAGAGAGAGAATCCCAAGCAAGCTCTGTGCTGTCAGCACAGATCCTGATGCAAGGCTCAAACCCACAAACCATGAGATCATGACCTGAGCCAAAACTAAGAGTCAGAGTCCGTTGCTTAACTGACTGAGCCACCCAGGTGCCCCAGTGCTTTTTTTTTTTTTTTTTTTTTTTTTTTTTTTAACTGAGGGAGATTCTCTTCTGCTCCTGCTTCCTCTCCTTAACTTTTAAATTTTGAACAAACCTTATATTCCTGGGATAAACCTCAGTTTGTTGTGAGGTATTGTCTTTACACGTATTGCTAGGTTCAATTTACTAGTATTATGTTGAGGATTTTGCACCTACATTCATGAGGATATTGATCTGAAGTTTTCATAGATGGTGTTTTTCTGGCTTTGGTGTCAGGGTAAAATAGCTTCTTAAAATTATTTGGGAAGGGTTCCACCCTTTTAAATTCTCTGGGTAAGATTGTGTGGAATTGGATTTATTTCCTCTTTAAATATTTGGTAGACTTAACCAGTGAAACCATCTTTGCCTGTAGTTTGCTTTGTTGGAAGATCTTAACTACAGATTAAATTTATCCAATAGATATAAGACTATTCATGTTATCTCTTTCTGCTTAGTGATTTTGGTAGTTTGTCTTCCTTCTCTGTTGCCCCCAAGGAGTAAGTCCATTTCAAATATGGACACAGTTCAGAGTATTTCTTATTAGCCCTTTACAGACTGGTGAGTCTGTAGTGATATTTCCTCTTCTGTTCATCATATTGATGATATGCTTCTTTTATCTTCTTTTTTTTCTTGATCAATCTGGTTAGACACTTAAAAGTTTTATTAGCAGCTTTTGGTTTCATTGATTTTCTGTATTGTGCTAGTTTTCAGTAGCACTGATTTTTACTCTTTATTTCCTTCTTTTCCTTGCTTTAGGTTCAGTTTGCTCTTCTTTTTCTAGTTTCTTAAGGTGGAAACTTAGTTCCTGATTTGAGATCATTCTTTGTTTTCTAATATAAGCATTTGATGTGTACGTTTCCCTCTCTCTATGGCTTTAGCTGCCTGCTTCAGTTTTTGACATATTTTAATTTTCTTCAGGCTTAAAATATTTCCTAATTTTCCTGAGGCCACCTCTTTGACTCATGGGTTGCCAGAACTGTGCTTCTTAATTTCCAAATATGTGTGATTTTTTTCTATGTTTTTCTGTTACTGATTTC